CTCTCTCTCTCTCTCTCCTTGAAGTTTGAAGTCTTGAATTTTGATAGTTTAATGAATTTGTGCACATATTGTGTTTGAGAAAATGCTTGGCCAAGTCAAATATTGAAATCCATGGAAAAAAGCATTTATGCGAAGGAATTTTGGCTTATGTTACCTGAGACCTCTGTCCAAGTTTCAGTTTTATTTTTTATTTGTACATATCATTGAGTTGGTAAATAAAATCTGTCTTAGTTACAAGAAAATAAATTGAACAAGGAACTACATATACTATCTTAAAGATAATGGTACACCCATGTTCTCAAAATCCTGAATACGCTTCTGGTTGGTATTCAAGACTTAGACGTTATTTTGTAACTTATGGGCTTTTAGTTTCAATTGTAGGGGCAAGTGCATAGATAACCATTTTCAGGGATGCTATTTAGTAATTGGCCAATACTTATTTTTGTCCTGAAATTTTAAACTAAAAGTTTTAACCTTCAGGACAATCTAAGACATTTTTTTTTCCTGAAAAATAAACTGATAAACTAAAATCCAGGACGCACTGGCTAATTTTTAAACACAATCCTTTAAAGTGGCTACTTGCTGTCATTACATATAAAGGCTGGGTTTGGCCACTTGGGCCATTCAGGACGAAGCTCCTCACATGAATTTTTTGCTGGTTGTCCCTTTTTGTATCAACTATTTAATAAATAACCATTTTAAAAATTTCTCTAGCAACTTATGGACATTTTAGACCATTGTCTAAAAAAAAAAAGGTTTTAACTCAGCTTTTGCTCATCTGCCACAAATGAGCTTGCACAGAAGTTGGAAAACAGTTTTTAGTTGTGTTTAGTAACAGAAAAGTTGTTGACTAAGCAATAGGTCAAATTTTAAAATTTTAAAACACACAACAATGACACCAATAACTAAAAAGGCTGCTGTTTATTATAACCTCCAATTCTACTATGTGACTACTAATCCTAATCAAGGGGTGAGCATTTTAAGTTTAATATAGTCATTTAGTTAATGCATGAGATAAATTTGACTAGAAATAAATAGCCACACAATTGAGATGCAATTATCATAGTAGTTACTTATTTAGTTAATATGTAGTGATTATTGTTTTTTTCTTCCTATAAAACTTATATAATCAAACCTCTATATAACAGTTTTGTTTGTTCCGATATTTTTTTTTGCTTCTATAGAGAAATGTTGTTATAGAAAACATATATTATAATATAAGATAAAAATTGATTCCGAGAAAAGTTTGACTTTTACAGTGAATGACTGTTATATATGGATGCTGTTATAGAGATGTTTAATTGTATAACCATATCATTTTTTTATTTTTTACTTTTAAAAGTGATAAGTTTCGCTTTGCTAAAATCCGTTAAAAGAAAAAGTGATCCCTACCATAATAATTTGGACAAAATATAAAATTGACTGGTCGACCGAATATATTTACTAACCAATATATATATATATNACTGAATTTTATTGACCAAAAAACATAAAAAGGTGTTTGTCCCCTTCTCCGGTCTCTCATCTTCTTCAACCCCTAAAACCCTAGTTTGTTACAGAGCCAAGTAAACATTCAGCTATGCCCCAAAACGACGACGTTCGCTTCACTTCTTCTTCTCTCAAACTCCCTCTCTTTTCTCCTCCTCTTCAACACCATACCCAAAAAAACCCTTTCTTCACCAATCTCCACTTAATTCTCCAAAATTCCAGTCTCCAAAATCCAATTTTACAAACTTTATCCAAATTCCCACTCCCAAAATTTCACCAAAATTTCAATCCCCAAAATGCAATTCTCCAATTCCTTAAAAAACCCAGAAACATCAACCTATTTAACTGGAATTTACCAAAAACCCCACTCATCTGCTCTGCATCAATGGCATTGACTCAGAGTCAGGTTCAGAACAACCCGGATGACTTACCCGGGTCGACTCAGTTATCGGGCTCGGGCCCGAAAATGGGGAGTGGGAATGAGGAGAGAGTTCTGATTAGTGAGGTATTAGTACGTAACAAGGATGGTGAAGAACTTGAACTGAAGGATTTGGAGAGTGAAGCATTAAATGCGCTTAAAGCGTGTCGGCCCAATTCGGCACTTACTGTACGAGAGGTACAAGAAGACGTGCATAGAATAATTGACAGTGGGTATTTTTGCTCTTGTATGCCTGTTGCTGTTGACACTAGAGATGGTATTCGCTTGGTTTTTCAGGTACATTTTTCTTCAGCTATTACTCCCTCCCCTCCAATTTATGTGCAACATTTTCCTTTTTAAATTGTTCAGGAAAAATGACAGATTTCTATATTTAGAAATAATTTAAATTTAAATTTCCTATACCTTTGATGAGATCAACACAAATGTCTATGCTCACCACAAGTTTTATATCTTATTTAGCTTAAAGAAGAACTAATTGATATGTTATTTAGCTTACAAAAGAACTTATTGATATCTTGTTTAGCTTAAAGGTTGGTTCTTTTAGCAGAAAATGATGAATAAATTGAGATATAAGATATTGCATTGCAATGAAGTGGGAGGAGAACAATGAGGTCTTAGGTTAGAATCCCATCAGCCTAAGCCTGGGTGGGTAGAGTTACTCGGTGCGGCTGTACCTGTGCTGGTGGTGGAATAGTCAAAGTGCGCGCTAGCTAGTCAGGATACAATGTCATAAAAAGAAGAAAAATTATATTGCTTTGACAAGTTAATTTTTTTTTCTCCAGAAATAGTGACATTTCACCTTATTTTTTGAGAGTGTAACAATAGTAGGTAATTATTAGTCTAGGATAAACCAATAAAAGTTGTATTGAATAAAAAGAGTTTCCTTTTTGATACGCAAATGAAGATTGTTTTATATTACTGAAAGTTTCTAAACATTCAAATGCATTCAGAAAATGTATTATTTCCTCACTGTTTGCCATGTGTAAGTGCTTATATCTGTTATGTTTTGGCATAAGGTAGAACCAAACCAGGAGTTCCATGGTCTGGTATGTGAAGGAGCCAATGTGCTTCCAGCAAGGTTTATAGAGGATTCTTTTCGAGATGGATGTGGTACGCCTTCCTTATACTCTTGCTATGCGTCCTGTATTGTCATTTCTTTTCATATGCATGAGCTTCTGTTTTGTATTTGTCTTTCAAGTATATTAAATAATCAGCCTATATCTTACATTCTGTCTAGTATGCAACCCATGCTGTGCTTATTTTCAAGCAATGCAGGAAAAATTGTTAATATCAAGCGGATAGATGAAATAATAAGCTCAATAAATGGTTGGTACATGGAGCGGGGTCTTTTTGGAGCGGTTAGCACTTCACTATGAGAACTGCAGCCTGTTGTTATTATTTTCCCCCCTTTGGATGCCTTTATTTGTGATGTGGGAAATTTGAGTTATCTTATTGTGCTGTAGGTATCAAGTGTAGAGATGCTCTCTGGAGGTATGATTAGGCTAGGAGTTTCTGAAGCAGAGGTGAATAACATAGCCATCCGCTTCCTTGATAGGACGTAAGAACCTTTCTTTCTTATACCTATGCCTTTTGGTGAATACAATTGCTCTTAGCAATGTCTTGCACGTGCTTGCATGTCTCAGTGGTGAGCCAACTGTAGGGAAAACAAGGCCTGAAACTATACTTCGGCAACTTACTACGAAGAAAGGGCAGGTATAGTTAGACTGGCCTTTCCTATTCTAACAGCATTTATTTTTTATTCCTTTAAAAACTTGGTGTTAGAAAATGTCTTTTAATGTACGTCTTTGATACATAGAAACTTTTACAATTTGAAATGAGTTCTTAGCAGTTTTGTGTTTCTATGAGTGTAGTGAATTAAAGTAGGCTAAAGTATGTTAGAGTAGCAAATTTCCTATTATCCCTCTTTCTTTTTTGTTTATGCCCTCTAATATTGCAAAACTTTGATGCTTTGGTAGGAGGCTCATTCTATAGGCTAATATGCTGCTCATTTTTTCCTTGGCAGTTGTCAACTTCAATTTTGGTAAATCAGTAGGAAGTTATAGGTTACAATTCTGTCACCTATTAGAAAGCAAAAAAAAAATCACAGGGAAAAAAAGAAAATGAAAAGATTGCAGTCTTGATCAATAGGTTTGTTTTAATTTCTTCTTTTGGGTTTATCTGAAAGCCCTAAATGTTATAGCTAGCTTTCGCATAAGTTTAGTGTTTTTCCTCTGAATATATATCTGATGTTCCAATTTTCTTATGGTGGCTGATTCATCTCACTAGACAACATTGTTGTTCTAAATGATCGTTCTCCAAATATTTTGTATCACACGTCATTCTAATAAGGGAAGAGTTTTGTACAAAACAATTGATTTCTTTCTGCAAATGGTAACCCCATTTCTAGAGTTTAAGTGTTTCAAAATAATAAGTGAGCTTAACTTCTGCTTGACACGTTTATAAATTCTCTGATTTTTGTTTTCTGAAATTCTACGTTGTGTTAATAGTATCCCAGCATCACTTCGCAGCTCACTTGCATGTCTTAAGCATGCAGCTAGATCTTAAAAAAGATATATGGAAATAAAATGTGTCCAATTGGATTTTTTTGCACCTTCTGATTGAATGATTCCTGTTATCCTAAATTTTGCTGCAAAGGTAGTTGACCTGAACTTTAGTTACTTGGGAAGCATGATAGAGAACGTTAGCATTTAGGCATATTACCCTCCTTCTATCTTCTTTTCCAGACTCTGCTCTTTTATGTCTGTTGCAAATGCGAAAGCTCTAGCTTTTACTAGTTTATCCATTCAAATATTTATTACTAGAAGTCACAAAGTTGGAGAATGTTTTTACCAGTGTATAGCGAGAGGTCCCCTTAATCATGGTTTTCTCATTGAGAGGTCCACATAGTAATGAATATCAAATGACCAAAAGACTCTATCTTACACTTCGCTAGTTCTATAATTTCTTACTTGTGAATTGGCATTAGTGAAATTGCTGATTTTACAAATTGCATGGGAAATTGTCAAATTGTATTCCATCTTTGTTGCGGGGAAATCCGCTATCTTTGTGCTAGTTCGAATGTGAAATTTTGACTATTCTTGTCTAGGTTTACAGCATGCTTCAAGGGAAAAGAGATGTGGACACTGTCTTAGCTATGGGCATTATGGAAGATGTTAGCATTATCCCTCAACCCGCTGGAGGTGATTTAGCGAAGATGGTTTTAACTGTCAAATCATGTCGCACCTCTCTTTGTGCATAACTGCATTTTTATCTTAGTTAAGAGGGGCGTAGCTAGGATGTTTTCTTTTTCTAGTTGGGGTGGGGGAATAGCATTACATAACAGAAATAAAGTATGAAATGACACATAGTATCAAAAGCAAAAAGTATTGTAAGGTATATAGTAAAACATAAGAAAAGAGTGTCCTGGTTAGGAAAATATAGTAACAAACACCATTTCAATTTAGGAGATGTGTTGTGATCAAATGGTGAAACCTATACTTACGCCAAGAATTAGTGTATGGGTTGTAGTCCAAAAAGCTCCTAGTAATTACTTGAACATGGAAGAAAGCCAACCCTTAATTACTAGGAGCCTTTTGGACTGCAACCTGTAAATTAAAGTCTATTTTAACTAGAAAAATAAAAGGCCAAATATAACATGTATTAGATCCAAGAATGAATAAAAATTAAATAAAATTGTGAAATGAGTGGTTAATATTTAGATCTAAGGCATTAGTGGTTACAGCATGATATATCTGTTTGGTAAATTTACAGCCTTATTAATAACTAAAATATTTTTTTGCTTGTGGGTCCTCTTGGTTGCACCTGGTGGCGGACGATGATTAAGCACTATATAGAATGCTGTGCATATAAAAGAGACCATATGCACTACAGAAAGTTTGGTGGTGTCAAGGCCCCTCCTTACCCCTCTGGGCGTTTGCTCTGTATGCTGTAATCTATTGCTCTTTCTGTAAATTAACTTTTTGCATGCAATATTGCAGATACTGGTAAGGTAGACTTAATTATGAATGTTGTTGAGCGTAAAAGTGGGGGTGGTATTTCTGCTGGTGGTGGAATTTCTAGTGGGTATGTGACATTTGAGAAGTTATTATTTTTGAAAACTACTTTCTGTTATAATGTCTCTTTTGGTTGCTTGACTGCCTCTTTAATTGTATGTATTTCAATTTCAGGATCACAAATGGACCCCTTGCTGGATTGATTGGCAGGTACTTTCAGTAGTAGGGAATTCTTTTTGGTGTAGTGTCTTCAACTTTAGGAGATCGTTATTTGGGGTTCTGAACAATCTTGGTCAAGGGTTGACCTTCTTCCATGTTCTTTTAAGATTGTCCAACACTTTGTTGTTTACATTTCTAGGTTGTCTGAATTGAAATTTTTTGTCCTTAACATAAGGATGTGGTTAATCACATTGCCGTACTGGTGAAACCTATACTTATGCCCAGCACGTGAAATTCTTAATTAAATTTAGTTAACATTAGGAAGAACTTTTCAAAAAACTGTTAAGGGTTTAAATTGACTTCTTTTCTCAAAAAAGCAGCTTATTCAGTGGACTACTTAGAAGCACTAAGCTCAATCCCTTGGGGAGCACTTCTGCGAAATCTACTCTATTTCTGCTACTTTTTGGTGCTTCATTTCTAACAAGCTGCAAATATACTCTAAATAGCTTTTCCGTAAACGGAAAAAAGAAGCCGATGTGACTACCTTTTCTTAGAAAAAAGATACGTGGTTCTGGGTTTAGGGAAGTTTTTAGCTCAGACACTTCCAGGAAATAAATTCTTACATGAACTTCAGTATCCCAGCAGCCACAAATTCTTTCTTTATAAAAAATATAAAATTAGAATTCTTACATGGACTTCTGTTAATAGATAGGATAGCTCTTTCAAACAAAGCCTTATCAATATAGGCAGACATCAGCGCTAGTAGTTAACAATACATGCTGAGTATTAGTAGTTTCTATTATATTCAAGATGTGTGCTAATTTTCACATTGAATCCAAAAAGAAAGTTTCACTTTCAAAATCTTTTTCCTAGAGTATGCTGTTCAGTTTATCTTTCCATTTCAGTTGTGCCATATACCACAAAAATCTTTTCGGAAGAAATCAAAAGCTGAATTTGTCACTGGAGCGAGGGCAAATTGACTCACTTTTTCGGATAAACTATACAGATCCATGGATTGAAGGAGATGATAAGAGGACTTCAAGATCAATTATGATACAGGTAATTTAAGATCTACTAAAGCATATGTCATGGCAGTTAGTCAGAGCTCATTTCTATCTGACTTCATATTTTAACTAGAATTCCAGGACGCCTGGCACGCTTGTTCATAATCAACCTGATGGTAGCCTGACGATAGGACGTGTCACGGCTGGGATTGAGTACAGCCGGCCGTTCAGACCAAAGTGGAATGGAACAGCTGGAATCGTATTTCAGGTAGCTTATACATTAATGCTGCTGATAATTTATGCACCATCCGCAGAATGATTATCTTACTTTCTGCCATTGGATGGTTTGCATGGTTATAGAGGGAAGCATGGTGATAAAGATCTTTATTGATTTTTGAAGAGTGTGAAAGTTGATTTTCTAGTGTCCAACTGACATTGAGTTGAAATGGCGACTCCAAGAGAATGAGAATTTCTGCCTGTGAGAAACTCAACTCTTGTTTCCAAAAGGCCCGAAGAGAGATGTATTTGGTGTCAACAATCAAAATGTGTAGAGACCCTCTCATCCATGTAGCCTGTACAGGATATCCTAGCATGAAATTTACTGCATGCGGGAGGAAACCCTAATTCTTGTCGAGTTGGGAATTTCTAGGATGGGGTTATTTAGCAATTAAAAGTTTTGAATTTTCATCTTGAGTTATTCGTAAAATTTCATTGAATTGGTATTGTTTCAGGGACTAAAGGGGATCTCTACTACCTAAACTTTGGAGTATTCATTCTAAAAGATAAACATTAAATGTGCTTTATCCAAGAAAAAAAACCACATCTAATAAAAAGATGAATGTTAAATGTGATTGTGCATTATATTTACATTGTTACCAAGTAATTTTGGTGATTGTATTGTGGTCCTACTACAATGCTGTCACCAATTAGAATCATCCAAAACCTTTTCAATTCTCCACTTAGACTAATTCTTTTGCAAGACGAAAACGAATAGATAATTGGGCATGAATAAGCGCCTTTCTTATAAAAGCCTTACGAGTTGTTTAAACATTTGTCTGAATATTGGTATGTCAGGCTGCTAGTAAAGTTTATAATTCATTTTGAAACTTGTGAAAGGGGTGTCATCTATTATCTTCTTATTTACTATTAGGGTTGATTATGCGCTCTGTTGACTTTCGGAAACAGCCTCTCTACCCCTTTGGGGGTAGGGGTAAGGTCTGCGTACACTCTACCCTCCCCAGACCCCGCTTGTGGGATTATACTGGGTTGTTGTTGTTGTATGCGCTCTGTTGAATGTGGATATCAAATAAGTGTAATATCTGGCTAGGATGGGGGTATTATCACGTGGGATGACCTTCTGCATATTTGAAAATTTTTTCTAATAGCTTTTAGAAGTTCATAAATATTTTACAATAAATGAACTCGAGAAGAAAATGCTACGGAAGAGTCTGATAGTTAGGATGAGTCATCTGACCTTCGTAGTAAGAATATTTGAGGTTTTGGATGTAATCACCGTCATGTCAATGCATTTAATTACTGGTGGAAAACCTGGAAATAAAGAGCATATTTCGGAGTGATGAGTTCAGAGGCAACTTTACTCTAGCAAAAAGAGGAGAAAAAAATATCACTTGTGCTTAGCGATGTAACGATAGCAAGTCCTAGGAATAATTTGAGTTATTTATGCAATAATCAGCAGAAGATGGGCATGAATAGTTTGAATAATATTTTCCGCCATAAGATTGCACTGTAAGAACTAAGAGTGTGCCAAGGAGGATGAAAACTCTTTTCTCGTTTCTAGTCTTGGGGCATCAGTGGAGTTTTTTAATCATTTCCAGTGTCTGACATCCTTTATTTCCCATTTCTGTTAATGCCTTTGCTACTTGTCCTTCCTATTTGAATTTCTCAGCGTGCTGGTGCTCGGGATGACAAAGGGAATCCTATTATAAGGGACTACTACAGTAGTCCACTTACTGCTAGGTATATATTGTTAATGGTTTATGCTGCCTAAAGTGTTGTTATATCTGGCCATAAGAAATTGTCCAATATGTTTCTTTCTGAACTGCTGCAGTGGCAACACTCACGATGATATGTTGCTTGCCAAACTTGAAACTGTCTATACTGGTTCTGGTGACCCTGGTTCTTCGGTGGTCAGTTTTCTAATATTCTGCCAGACTCCTTGTCTAGTGAATAAACAGATAGAAAGAATTCTTGATGTACTCCAAACTTGTTTACCCTGCTGTTTTGCAGTTCGTTTTCAATATGGAGCAAGGGCTTCCTGTGTGGTCAGAGTGGCTAGGTTTCAACAGAGTCAATGCTCGTGCTAGAAAAGGAGTCTTATTAGGTCCTATGCGTCTTCTCGGAAGGTACATTCTCCATTATTTTGTGAGGACTAGCTAGAAAGATGTTAAATTCGGCTGCTCTTCCTTCAACTGTATCCTTTATAAATTCCTCTAAATTAAGTTGCTGGCTATTGTGAGTTTCCTTTTGCAGCTTCTCTGGTGGTCATGTGGTAGGAAATTTTCCGCCTCATGAAGCATTTGCCATTGGTGGAACCAATAGTGTGAGAGGATATGAAGAAGGCGCAGTTGGCTCAGGCCGGTCTTATGTTGTTGGCTGTGGAGAAATTTCATTCCCTCTGGTAAGTGGAGGCAGTTGGAAACTATAATCTGATAGTTCAACACACCTCTCCAGATATTGGTGGTTTTCACTATCTCTCTAATCTATCCCGATGATGCTGGTGCTATCTCATCTCTACCAAGATTGCTGTTGCTAAAGTTCATTGATTTTTAGACCCCTCTCTATATGGGCGTCTTTCCCTACAATTTATTAGATCTCTCTTTCTCTGTCTCCTTCTCCCTCTACTTTGGTTTTTGTTAACGATAGGGTTCTGGCCAACTTATACACACCTCGATTATGCCACCCGGTAGCTGCATCCTACCAACGGTACAAATATCAGGCAACTTTATCCATCAGTACTTAGGTAGATTGAAGAAAATTTCCAGACGGTTTTTGCCTCTACTATTAACCCTAGTCTCCCATGGTCTTCATTCCAGCTTCATCCTCTGTTAAGCTATACGTTCCTTACAATATTAGTTCTCTGCTAAACGTCTTTGACTTGAATACTGTATGCTATCATCTTTCTTATCATATTCCCCGTCTTCTGCAGATGGGGCCATTAGAAGGGGCAGTATTTGCTGATTATGGCACAGATCTTGGTTCTGGTCCAAGTGTTCCTGGTATGTATCTCTGGTCTGATGTTTGCTTTTGGCTAACCCCCCTCCCCCTAAAAAAAGTTTTTTTTTGCTTAAACATAAGTATCAGAGTATACTACAATGTTTAATCTTTTCTGATGGCAGGAGTAGTCTAACTTCGACCAGATTGATAGAATAAGCATCCATACTTGTGGGATAATAGGCAACTTAGAGAGGCAAAATTAGTGCATTAAATTTTGACCTGTTCAACCTGCCCAAGTTTGAGGAGCTTCATAACCCTCCCATTTATTAACTCAGCCGATTTTGACCCGCCAAAATCCAGTCCAATCAGCCCATTTGACACCTTTGTAGGCAACATCCGCTAAATTCACAAATATGAAGGGAACTATAAACTAAATTGTCTATTCAATCTCAGTATCAAAATTTATCTACTTGACTAAGGCTCCATTGACAAGCACTCTACTCAAGTCAGTTTAAATCTGGGGGATTTGACATATATTACACTTTGGCATGCTTTTAATTCAATATTGTTTTTCCTTAACAGGTGATCCTGCTGGACCAAGGCGAAAACCTGGAAGTGGATATGGATGTGGAGTTGGTATTCGCGTAGACTCGCCATTAGGACCTCTAAGACTGGAGTATGCCTTCAATGACCAGAGGACTGGGAGATTTCACTTTGGTGTTGGCCTTAGGAACTGATGCTTACTATAGTCCTTACTTGTTTATTGACATTTATTATATCATCTTATTTTTTGGTTTGCCTTCTTAGGTTATAATTCATCTACATCTCTTTTGCAACCTGCATCTTCTAAATCTATAATGCATGTCATTGTAGGGATAGATTTCTAGGTGTGTTTTAGCCTTTTAGGTGTAGAAATGACACAAGGTAGCCACTCCAAAGCGCTGCCATTTAGGAATTAGCCATTGCGTCCTGAATTTCAGTTTTTCAGTTCAATTTTTCAGGACAAAATAAGTACTGACTAGTCCCTAAATAGCATCCCTTAAATTGGCTATCTGTGCACTTGTCCCCTTTTAGGTAGTAACAAAGACCCGCCAGATTTTATTCTATTTTTTAAAATTCCTTATCATCATTTTGGGACAAAATTAAAGAACAAATTTCAGTCATTGATGATACATATTTGACTCATGGCATTAATGAAGACATGAAAAAAAAAAGACGAGCAAAAACTCGCCAATTTTATAATTTCTTTATTATTATTTTGGAATAATTAGAGACCAAATTCAGTTATTGAAGATATACAATTTACACATGGCACCAATAAAAACATTTTAAAAGAAAGAAGGCAAGAACAAAGACCCGTCAATTCTATAAATTCTAAAATTCTTCATCATTATTTTGGCATAACTAAAGGACATTTTCAGCCATTTAAGATACACATTCCGAGATGTTAGTTTGGAGACAAATTATGGAAAAATGACTTGTTTATGTGATAGTGAGTAATATATGAATTGTTATACCGTAAATAAATTTTGAAAAAATTGTTATGCAACAACAATAATTACAAATCTCCCCAGTCTAATCCCATAAATATGGTACCTCTATTTTGTAAAGATAGAAAAACTATTTTTATAAGATAACCGAAGTAAAATAATAAGATAATAAAATAACTCAAATAAAATAATAAAATAATAAGATAATCGAATATTAATAGGTAGCGATAGAAATTTAAGGAAAAAGAAAATAGGGGTGAATTGCAACCTCTTTGACCGCACGCTCTTCTTCTAAATTCTCCTTTTCGCCACCTTCTACATTCTTCTAAAGCTAACAACTTTACAAATTCCTTTAAACCCTATAACCCCAATTTCCTCTCCTTTTGAGAAATTCCACAATAAATAAATAAATTTCAATGGCTTCAAATCTCACTTCTCGTTTAGCTTCTCGTCTAGCTTCCCGTCTCCTCCGTTCCGCCGTCACTACCGGCGCCGCCGCCACGACCACCACCACTCTCCCCAAATCCCACCCTTTAATTTCACTCCTCCACCGCCAATCACAGCCCTTAAATTTTTCCCGTTTCAACCCTAACCAACCCCTTTTCACCCTCCGATCCTTCTCCACACTCTCCCGGCCCGCTAAATCCCACAGATCAGCCCGACCCGATATCGGAGCCCGAGCCCGACAACTCCAAACCCGGCGCCTCTGGACTTACGCTATCACATTCAGTTGCATAGCTGGATTCATAGTAATAGTCCTTAACCAATTCCAAGACCAGCTTGTATTTTACGTAACACCTACAGACGCACTATCACAACACTCACAAAACCCTACAAAATCAAAATTCCGACTCGGCGGATTAGTATTAGAAAACAGTGTAACACCAATCCCTAATTCACCTGAAATGGAATTTGTGATTACTGATTTGATTACTGATATTTTGGTTAAGTATGACGGGTCGTTGCCCGATCTTTTTAGGGAAGGGCATTCTGTTGTAGTTGAAGGGTTTGTAAAGCCGTTTACGGAGGAGATGAAGAAGAAAGAAAGTGGGATTTTGAGTGAGAAGAAGTTAGAGGTGACGAAAAAGGCGAGGGGCGGGGATTGTTATTTTGCAGCTACGGAAGTGTTGGCGAAACACGACGAGAAGTATATGCCACCTGAAGTTGCAAATGCACTTGAGAAGAATAAGCAGTTGCTGCTTAGTCAGCAGATGGAAGGAAATGAAAAAGAGGGGGATGGTGATACTGCAGCACCGCCAGCTACAGCAGGGGCGTAAGGGTAAAAAATCTAATTAATTTTTTTTTTTTGGAAATGATGGAGTTTTCTTAAAGTTACAATTTTGACTATACTATTGTTTTAGATTAAATTGAAGGAAGACAGGAAAGTTAAGGGATATATAGGTGGTTTATTGAGGCTATATGATGAATTTTGTTGTCATAGTGTTTGATTTCATATTGTACTAACCCTGTGAAATGGGGTTTGAGTTTAGAATTTTTGGGATACTGAATAAATGAAAGAAATTATTTTTTATGACATTGGATGTTTGTAATTCTTATTGTTTACACTCGATGTAGTGGACATTGATGAAAAAAATCGAGAGGTCGTTGATTACGGATTCTGGTAAAACTTGTAATTGATTTTTTTGGGGAAAATGATAGAGTTCTGTTAAAGTTTCAATCTTAATTGTACTACTAACTCTTTTACATTAGATTGAAGGAACTCAGTAAAATGATGTGTAGTTGGTTAATTGAGTTTATATAGTGAAATTTATTGTTGTAGTGAATGGGGCTTTTTGATTTCATGTCTTGTACTAACCCTGAGAAATGTGGTTTCAGTTTAGAATTTTTGGAATATTAGTGAATAAGTGACAGGAATTATTGTTCATGACATTGGATATTTGTAATTCTTTTGTCTAAACTCAGTGTAGAGGACATTGATGAAAAGAAATAGAGAATAAATCACTTCTGAGTTTCTTGTCCATGTTTCTTTTAATATAGTGCAGCTTTATTTTACTCGAACAGCATTATTGGTGTCTCCAGATTTCATTTTGTTATGTGTATTGATAGCCAGAGTGTTAAGTTTTTGTTATTTTCTTACGTGACTCTGCACATAGTGTACTTGCTTTTGATGGCAACAACCACACCAGGAATCTATCTTTTACAAATATAGCACTAGAAGCATTGTGGTGATTCATGTTTTTATATGATCATGTTACAAGGAACAGCGATGCGTGTATGCAAGAATTTCTAGGCTTCGCTTTGTAGAATTTTGGGTGCGGAAAAAACTAGGATAGGTAAAGTTTAAGGTTCTGGAATAGGTAAATGGTTCTACGTTTCGGAGACACTTACGGGGTAGAATTGTAGACATGTTTAGGTATTTGATGGGGCTCTGGACATGCTTACTGCTGGCTAACTAGAAACTAGTTATTCAACAAGTGTAACCAACCAAGAAAAGCAAGACATTCAAATTTTAAGGACAGAAGCTTTTAAGTTTTGGAGGCCATTTATGGGTAGAATTCTGGACGTGTTTTTGGTTCTATGATGGGGCGCTAGTCATGCTGACTGCTGGCTAATTAGAAGCTAGTTACCCAATGTTAATGCCAAAGAAGGAAAACAGGGTATTTCATTTTGACAGGGCAAAGCTTCTAAATATTGGGGTCCATTATTGGTAGAATTGTTGACATATTTTTATCTTTAATGGGCTCTAGTCATGCTGACCTCTGGATAATTAGAAACAAGTTACCTAGTTTGTAAACTGAAGAGGAAAACACAATATTATTCTGATAGGCAGATGGTTTGATGGTGATTCAGTGAAAAAGAAATCTGGAACCAAAGTTTGCTAGTTTTGGATGCCATTATGGGTAGAAAATGGGGCTCTAGTCATGCTGTCCGCTGGCTAATCAGAAACGAGTTGAATACTGTAAACTGAATAAGGAAAAACACATACTCACTTTGGATAGGCTAATGGTCTGATGGTGATTGAAAGTTGAGAAAGAAAATCTGGAACCCCAAGGGCTGTAAGTTTTGGATGTCAGCCATCATGGATGGAATTCTTTACGTGTTTTGGGTCTTTGATGGGCGTCTAGTCATGCTGGTCGGTGGCTAATTAGAAACATGTTATGCAATGGTGAATTGTTGCAGGAAACAGCTATTAAATTTTAATAGGCCAGTGGTTAGTTATCAGAAAAATAGGAAATGATTGACTGGTGGTTCAGAGGTGCCCAAAATATATTTTAAAAAAAAAGAAAAGCAAAGCTTCTATGCTAATGTATGCCATTATGGTAGAATTCAGGACCAGTAGTTCAGGTCGTTGATTATATGATTTAGATGTTCAAATTTGAGCTTAACTGGAAAGAGTCGCGAATGAATTTGTTGATGGATTATATCTTAAAATGAACTCCTAGTGATTGCTATCCATCGGATTGTCTGTTGATATCCTGAAATGTTCTGGATCAAATGCATATCTTCTTAAAAGAACATGCTCCTAGGAGATCTTCGGTTTGTGCTTCTTGACTTGATTTGCGGTATTTTTTATCTATCTTTTTTTCTTTTCAAATATTGTAATAAAGTGCTTTATGTTATAAATATATTATATTATGAATAAATATATTATATTATGGATGTTCATTTAGAACTCCGCTGTAAATAAGCTTCATGAATAAGCCTATCCATATGGGACTCCGCCGTAAATATATTTATCTATTTAGTACTCTATTGGAAATAAGTCTCCCGAAGAAGCTTATCCTTTCGGTACTCCGTTATGGATAAATATTACCTCTGGTAGAAGATTTTCTATATCTGGTATAGTAGTAGCTTGCAGTAGCAGCTTACACAACAACTTCCTTTCTTCTATAAATAGAGGAGAATTCAGTTCATTATGTACATGAGTTTGAAGTTGAATAATATATCAATCTCTCTATATTTGTTTTCGGTTTATTTACTTTACAGTCTTTATTTTATAATACGTTATCATCACTACCTGACTGTGAGGCAACATATTGCCCTTGTGCGTGGTCAAACCGAGTTCATTCAGAGCATTTAGAAGAAGATTACATCCTTGGAGTGGTGAACATTACGTTGGTTTTGTTAATTTCCAACTCTATGAAGAGATAAATCCTTTTGCTGTCATTTCTCAAAGATAAGGCTTATTAATTTATAATTTTAATTTGATTTCCTTCGTGAGCTTGAAAAATTATGCTTATTATCTATGTCCATCACGTGCTAATTCTAAGCAACTAGTGATGCGGGGCTTGCAGGTATATTGTGATTTGAAATACAAATTTGAAGGCTAAGAAGACAATGGATATTGAATCAACTTGCT